TTTCAATCAGCTCATCCTCTAAAGTGTACTTCTCAACCAATTTTTTTGATCCATGTCTCATCAATATGTTTGCTCAAGATGGTGGTTAGCACATCTTGGCTAGATAACTCAAAATAATCATTAGTACATGGGTTGATAACATCTACGAAATTTAAATAATGAATATCATTAGGATAATGCATAGCTTCAAAGATGTTAAAGTCGAGCACCTCACCGTCGAATTCCATAGACAAAGTACCATTAGCAACATTTATCTTTTTATTTGTGGTACTCATGAAGGGTCTCCATAAAATGATGGAACTTGAGTGTGGGGTGTTTTCATCACCCATATCCAGGACATAGAAATCCAATATGAAATACAAGTTCATTAACTTTCATTAAAACGTCCTCTAATACACCTTGTGGGTGTACTATAGACTAGACAACAAGTTGTATTATGACTCTGATTTTGGTTAAAGGTCCAATTCCCTTGTTTTGTAACTCAATTAAGGCAAGACATTAATTGATCCCCCAAGATCTAACATAATATGTGGTACAAAAAGATTACCCATTTTACAAGGAACCATGAATAAACCCGGGTCCTTGCATTTCTTGGGCAACCGTTTTTGTAACACAGCTGGCACATTTTCCCCTACTTTTACTATTTCATTCCCTTTAAGTTTTTTAGATGTGCAAAGTTCCATAAGGAACTTATTATATCTCGGAATTTGTGTAATAGCATCTAAAAGATGGATGTTTATTTCAACCTTTCGAAACCTTGTCATGATTTTATCATCTTCCCGCTCTATTTTTGTGATTGCTAGTCTCGAAGGAAATGGGGTTGGAGTGACTTTCACCTTAGTATCAATTGGATTCTTTTGATTTGAAATGTCTTTCTTTTCATCCTCCTTTATAACTTTCTCTACTTCAATATCCTATTCTTGCTCCTCTTCAATCGACATTAGTGGGCCATCATAGCTTTTTCAATCTCTGAAGGTAATAGAATATGCATTGTGATTTGGGTTCTTCTTGGTTTGTGATGGTAACTTCCTTGCAATTCCATTCTATTTATGGATTGATCAAGTTGTGCCATTTGTTGCTCCAAGATTATTATGCTAGCCTTAGTTTCTTGTTGGAAGCTTTGAGTGCTAGTATTAAGGCTTTTCACAATTTCCTCTAAGGACATGCTTGATTAACATGTTTGTTGAGGAGATGGATGGTATGGTTGCCTTGGTGGATAGTTTTGTGGTGGAAATGGTGACCTTTGTTGATTTTAGGGCGGTAGTCTTTGTTGGAATCCAATGTTTTGGTTATTATTCCACCTTTGATTGCCTTGGGGCTGATCATAATTCCTTTGATTGGGCCTGGAATAGCCTTGCAAATCTTTTGCTTCTTCATAATCTTCTTCTTAAATTTGAGGTAACATGTCGATTGGATGCCTGGTTTGAGTACAAATTTCATAAGGACGAGATGCGGGTTGCACACCCTTGTCTTTGGTGAGCATCATGACCACCTTCGTTAATTCATAAATTTGAGCTTCTATATGGGGAGTATTTACCTCTTTAACACCCCCAGGGTGCATCCACATACCAATCCTTATCTTGATTCGAATTTTTAGAATCTTCCGTCATATTTTTTATGAGATTATGGATTTTAGTCGGGATTTTATTGAACAAAGACCCTCCACTTTCACTTGAGGCATTAACGAGTTGGTGTTTTGTGATCCCATGCTTCGGACAGTGAAATGTTAACTTCTTGAATTTTTCCCAATATGCATGAAAGGATTCTTTATTATGTTGTTTGATTCCAATAATTTTTCTCCATAGCCCGGAAGCTTTTCATCTCCATAAAGTATTTGTCTAAGAACATACGTGCTAGCTCAACCCTTGTGGTGATCGTACCCGGTGGAGGTCATACAACCAATCTTTGGCTCCATCTTGGACTGCAAAAGGGAATACCCTAAGCTTGATTTGATCCTCAGTGATATTATGTGGGATTCGTACCAGAGCAAACCACATGGAATTCTTTGAGAAACTTGTGAGGATCCTTATTTTCTACCCCTCAAAATGTTGGGAGTAAATGCATTAGACCAAACTTTAGTTCAAAGTTAGTCATATTTGGATAAAGGATGCATAAAGGTTGTTGGGTAACTGCTTGTTGAGCGCATTGGCGAAGGGTTCTTTTGGGTGGTGAAGTTGTTGGAAGATTTTTGTTGTTGTTTCCTAACTTATTAAGAGTTTGGATTGAGGCTTCTATAGATGTAAATTCTGGAGTACTATGAGTAAGGAAGGTGGAGCTGTATCTCTAGGTGAGGAGGGTTGAGATGAGAATGAAAGGGTTTATGTTTCTCTTTCTAATACACTAGATAGGGGCACATCCTCGTAAATGTTAATGGTCGGAGGGGTAAATGAAGAAGTCCTAAAATCCGGTTGCCTTTTCCAAAGCTTTGATTGATTCCATAACCTCTTTGTAGTCTTTTCTATCTCAGTTTCGTTTTGGAAAAGATGTACATATACGAAACGATCTATGTATAAACAATTATTAACACCGTGTCTCAGGAAATGGTGTCAATTTGCTAGGATGTCAAACACAACAAATAATAAGGGTGCAATAGACTCGAAAGACACTACTATATTGCACTAAAAAGAAGTATAACGCAAGAATGGTCGATCCTCAGAGACATGTGACAAAAGTCTATACAACTTTGTGTGAGGTACTTTGGTTACAAAAAAGGGAGTTGTATGCAAAATGTTGAATAACGCAAATAACAATCTACTTTGAAAAATGTAGAAAATGAAATAGATTTGCAGACAGTGAGTTAAATGGTTCCAATTATAGTTCTCAGTTTTGTCATTTAACTTGATTGTGCATCGATGCAATTCATGATTACTATTCTATGATGGTACTGAAAGATACTAACATGCTCTAATGCCTCTTGGTTGCCAAATGGTCTAATCAAAACACGCTCTTTGACTAGACCTAACTTTACTAATTCAGCCTAAACACGCTCTTAGATTGTATTGAAAAAGCGCATTAAGTTTTGTATAAGCTTCCTAACAATGTTCATTTCTTCTCATATGCTCAGAAATGGTGAAAACATGTGATATATCTTCTACAATAAGAAATCCTATTGCTTGTTACCTCACATTAAGTTTATAGAACGATTAGGTGCCCTAAAAGTTAGTTAACTACATAAGAACTCAATTCATATAAGTGGTCAATCAAACATACATCAAATTCAAGGATTCTAGTTAAAATAAGAACATGGTCACTAAAATAAAATCATAAACAAAACAAGAAACCATATGTATCAAATCAAACGATCAACATGTTCTGAATAAGAACTAAAACTAGGGTTTTTAGCCACACATGGCTAAAAACAAATCAAACAAAAAGATGAAATTAGAAATGTTTAATGTTTACAAATTGAAATTGCTAGTGTTTGCAATGATTAGAAGTCTTCAAATCCTTGCAAAAATCATCAAAAATCACCCCCAAGAAGTTCCAAAATCCGTCCCTATAAGAACCTAGAATTTTGAGATATTTGATTTTTAGTCAAATATTGACCAAAATGGCAAAATGGTCATTTAGGAGAATTTACTAAGTTTATGAAGTTGTAACTACATGAAAATGGACAAGATAAGTTAAGTCATTTGGATGATATTAGATAAGAGAGTTCAAGAAAAGAAATGCATGAGAATATATATTTAGGTTAAAAGGGTAAATAGGAAATTTTGTGTTTTTTTGTGACAACTTTGTGACTTAATAATTAAAACCCGTATTAAGTCGGTGAGAAATAACTTAACAGTGCTATAAAATATATACCCTTATGCGCATGGATATAAAACCATAGTAACACTTATAGAACGAAAAGGTTATGAAAGACTAGAGGGAAAATGATTTAAAAAGGTAACGAAGTTTAAAAAATGTAAAAAAAAGACCATTGTTTTATTTTTAGTAGACAAAATATCATTTTACCGGTTATTGTAGGTTACCCAATTTCCAAATGTTCAAAAAATATCATTGTTGTTTTTTTAGTACAAAAAATATCATTAATGTTACTTTTTGTACATAGAATACCAATGAAGTACACATGTGCTCAACTAAAACATTGTGGTAATCAGGTACTTCAGGTAAACGGAAAAATAACTTAAAAGTGTAATGAAGTTTCCAAAATGTTTAAAAAAATACCACACTTTTTGTTAACTGTGTTGTTATCAGATTATGTAGAACACAATCACTGGAGATCATCAATCGTCATATCAGTTCACAACAATAATGCAAATCTATTTCATTTCTTCACTCAATCGTTCTTGTGATAACAAGAGAAATAAATGGGTAATAACATTAGTTAAACATTCTTGCTTCCCGGTCACATTATATGCCTCAAACCTAAAACATATATACGTTACATAGATGCACATATTATACATCAAAGTTAGTCGTTCGTTAATGTTGCGGTATAAGAGAGATACAAAGCAGAAATAAGTGTGACGTTATGTCATGAGAATTCCTAAAGATGGATTTAGATACAAACTGATCGAGTGATGGAATGAAAGAGGGTACACAACTGGTGTTGAACTAATACGATGGTAACAAATATCTGATGACTGTGTTCTATATAATCCGGAAACAACGAAGTTAACAAAAAGTGCTCTGAAAAAACAACAATAGTTTTTTTTGAATATTTTGGAAATTTCAATGGTATTTTTTATACTAAAAAAATAATGGTATTTTTGAAACTTTGTTACCTTTTTAAAACATTTTTCCGTTAACTGCAGTAACCGGTTACTCACAAGGTTTTATTTGAACACATGTGTACTTCGTTGGTATTTTGTGTATAAAAAATATACTTTAATGATATTTTGTATACTAAAAAAGAGATCATGATCTTTTTTGTATATTTTTGAAACTTCTATCACCTTTTTAAATCATTTTCCCAATATTAGAAGTTGGAAGAAAAGTTGTCTCGTGCAACAAATCAACAATAAAGTTTAATCAATTAATAAATAGACTACGTGATCGGGTTTTAAGTTTAATCAGCTAATAAATAACGACTAAAAGACATAAATATTTAACTGTAATAGATAAACCCAGTTAAATAACTTCATTAACCTTGAACAAAAATAGTTCCGCTACTTCAAACAAGTTGTTTTCATAAGTTTGATGAAATTATAACTATATGATTCCAAAAGTTTCCCCCCACGACAAGTCACATGATGATCCAAATTCTGTACACAGTGTGTGAATTCTTATCTTAACTGCAACTCGACTCAAACACCCTAACCAGGATCAAAAAATTGGCTGCCGGAATGGTGCTAATAGTATTCCACCGCCGTGTCGGAGCAACTATCATCTGACACAACCTCACGTCTAGTAAATGGTGGCGGGACAAACGGCGGTGTTGTACATCTCAACAGAGCCCAATTCACACCTTGAAAAAACGCATGCTGTTTAATGGCCGATGCACCCATCGTCGACCCCAATCGCCACGCCGGATCCTTCACCAACAACTGAGATATCAGATCCTTCGCCATTGCCGGAATCACAGGCTCTTTCGGAAACTCCAGAGCTCGAGCTACGATATTCGCTAAAGTAAGCTCGTTATCCATCCCCCTAAAAGGCGTAACACCGTAGAAAAGTTCGAACATAAAAATCCCTAACGTCCACCAATCCACCGCGCTACCATGTCCCTCACCGGAGACAATCTCCGGAGCTAAATACTCATGTGTCCCGACAAAAGACATCGACCTGACGTCCAACGGCTCCGCCACGAACTGCACACCTCTTTGATTCCCGAGCTTCGTTTTCCGTTTCCGTCTAGGGTTGAAGCAGGAGACGGAAGGGACTATACAGTTTGGAAGGATGCATGAAGACGAAGTAACTTTGGGTGGATCGAAGGCGTAATGATCAGCTGACGACGGCGGATTTGGGCGGTTGTGATCGGAGAAGACCTGTGCTGGGGTGGAAGTAGAGCCGTCGCATTTCAAAGAGAGATCGAAATCAGTGAGCATGATGTGACCATCAGATCGGACCAGAACATTTTCGGGTTTCAGATCCCGGTAAACGATGTCTAACATGTGTAGATACTCGAGCGCCACCACCACCTCCGATGCGTAAAACCTGGAGATTCATTCATTATATTATAATACTAACAATTTCCTTAAATCGCACGATAGCCATTAAAGACTTCGATTAACAAAAAAACTGGAAGCAATTCCGGGTCAAACTTACCCGACCGGAAAATCCGGGAACCTTAGCTTTTATACATATAATCAATCAGATGCCATTTTTAAATGCTGATCCAATTAGATGGAAATTTTTAATGCGAGAAATTGTAGACAACGAACGATAATTTATGATGATATATATGTATTTGAATTTGAATGAGCCCCTACTGGGCTCTATTTAACTTCTATATGACAGTTCATAAATGGCATTTATGTAAATTTGGTAAAGGCTGGACCTATTTCTTAAACGTTTAGATCAAGTGGTGCAATTATGACCCACGTGGCAATAAACAAGTCGGAAAAAGTTTTGACTTTTCTAATATGCACATTGCACACGGACTCACGTGGACTCGAGCATGTGTAATCGCTACCAATGATACTGTTAAATATTTACTTTCTTCACAACTCAATGGGTTTAAGTTAATTGAATGATCAAGTGCGGGTTAGTCCACGACATAACATATGCTCCAGCAGGGGTCCATATGTGGTCCCAGAGCACATGAGACGTTATTGGCCGTGGATTTTAAATAAAATAGCCGGAGAAATATTGATTGATAGCTAGCGTTAGGCATGCGATACATGGGATCATTTTATGAAACAGATTTAGAGCTCATGCAATTTGGAAGGGAGAGTGGTGAAATGCGCACCTGACAGCGGATTCAGGGAAGCGTTTACAGGGCTGACGTTGCCGGAGAACGTGGAGGTCTCCGCCGGGGCAGAATTCCGTCAACAGACACGACCATTTCGGTGACTCCAACGACGCGTATAGCGTCGGTAGAAATGGATGGTCTAACATCTCTAGAATTTCCTTTTCGGTTTTCGCACGACCTTCCTTGTTCCGGCTTGCTAGCTCTCTCTTATCCATCACCTTCGCGGCAAAAACAGCAGGAGAGGAGGAGGAAGATGATGAAGAAGAACGTTTAATCTCAGAGAGGTAGACGGAACCGATGTCTCCGGCGCCGATACGGTTTATGAATCGAAGGTCAGTGAGGGATAGATTACCACCGGATTCAGATCCTGCGAGCCGGATTGCGTCTAAGCAGGGGTTACCAGAAGGAGCTGTGGATTTGAAAGTGGTGGAGAGGTTATGGCGAGCGGAGTAGGTAGCTGTCGTCCAAGTGGTTTCGGAGCCGGAGCTGGTGCTACGGTTGATGTCGGTGGCTGTAGTGGTGGTTGTGGAGTTGAAACTAATGCTCTGGAGGTCATCTGCGAGGTCATCCATCCATGGTGGTTCCATTGTTGGAGAGAAAATGGAGAGAGGAGGAGAGAGGGAGATGAAGAGGTGAGAGAAGAAATTTGTTGTTTTTGAAGAGGGTGAGGTGCCGAGGTGGGGGTTCATGTAGTTCGACGTTCGGGTCGGGTCCACATGCCATTGGTTACTAAATGGGCAGGGGCCCATATTCCTACATTCCAGTTCGATAAGATTGCTTACCAATATTTTGCAATTATTTGGAATAACGATATTTCTATCAAAAATAAATTTACAATCAAATATCTTAAATATATATTTTTGATAAAATAGTTATGAAAAACTTAGATAGGATAACTAATTAGAAAATAAAAAATTAGACCACAATTAATGCAAAACAAAAAGAAAAAAAAAAAAAAAAAGTTATGAAACTATAAAATTTGGAGGATCAATAAATATTTGTATCAATAAAGTTTAAAACAATGATGAAATTTTGTTTTACAATTAGATAATTTCTTTTGGGAAGCATGTGATGAAAATTTGTTATTTACCTGTTTAGATTGTTTTATGATTAATATATGATTTGATAGTATTGTTCTTTTATGGATGTCGCTGGCTATTGAAATGTTAAATCAAATCTTGGTTTCTTTTTAACTCTTTATGGGTGCTGTCAAATAAATTTGCATGACTGTGAAGGTTTCACGCTTTTATATATATATATATATATATATATTATTTTGAACTTCAAATATTATGGACTTATACTAAAAAATACGATATTAATGAGTAATGACATAAACCTGAGTTCATTAAGGGTGTTTTTTTTTTTCAACAAATAAATTTGTTTTTTTTAGTTCTGCATGAAGTTCTTACTTTATATGAAGAACTTCCGGTCCTAACCCTTGAACAAAGTTTCATCTAACTGAACAAAGAAAGTTGAAGACTTTTTCTTTTTTATAGTTATTATTTTGATTTCTTTTTATTAAGTTTCGTATGATTTTTTTTTTAATTTAAAAACTTAAAGACCTTTAATCATTCATACAAAAGCAACAAATATATACCTTAAAGTATTTTATATAACTCAGATTTAATGTTATAGATGAGTAATAAACTATTTTTATTCGGAAAATACAATTATATATATATATATATATATATATATATATATATATATATATATATATATATATATATATATATATATATATATATATAAGGTAAACAGCTATAGCTTTTTGTTCATAAAGTATTATTATTTTAATACTATGCTGTGAGGAAAAAAAAAACAAATAATTTGGTCACTAATATACGGTATTTTCTTTCTAAATCAATACTATTTTATAAAAAATAAATAAATAGTTCGTTGTGTATTTACAACATTAACAATTTTATAAAACGTCTGAATTATTTAGGACTAGGCAAAAACATGTGTGTTGTGTTGAAATAAAACTATGTTGATTAAAATTATGAAAATATATTATGTTGATTATAATTAAATAATTATATTATTGATAAATATATGGTATTAGAAATATGTATATTCTTGTTATTAATTTAGAGTTAATAGTCAAATTGTTTCTTACTAGAGTAGATTACACGAATGGTCCCTATGGTTTGGGGTAATTTGCGCGTTTGGTCCCTAACTTGTTTTTTTAACTCGGAAGGTCCTTACTTTGTGTTTTTGTTACGCGCTTGATCCCTAGTGTTTGTTTTTGTTACGCATTTGGTCCCTGTCTTACCTAAAAATAATATTATTTAAATAGAGAAAAATGGTGGGGTAGGTAAGGTAAGATGAGAGGGGCAAGGTTGGGGTGTATTTATTTAAATAAATTAAAAGATCAAAGGGAAAATGGTATTTTTAAGTAAGACAGGGACCAAGCGCGTAACAAAAACAAATATTATGGACCTTCCGAGTTAAAAAAATAAGTTAGCGACCAAACGTGCAAATTACTCTAAACCATAGGGACCATTCGTGTAATTTACTATTCTTACTAATATATTAGTTATTCTTTATAGGTTATTAATATCAGCCATCACTTCTTAAAAAATATTTTGATTATTTAGATGTTATGTTTGTTGATAAATTATAAAAAACAAATTATAAAGATAAGTTTCAATTAAAAAATTAGAAATTTAAGAAAGAATATTATTAAAATGACAAACAAAAAAATAAACTTCTATATTTATATTTATATGTATATATCTATTTATATCCATATCTATATATACCTATAAAAAAGATATTTTTTTTTTGAACTATATGCATTTAAAACCTCCAAAACTTTGTATTTTCCACATAATTAATAACAACCATTCAAAAGTTTTGTAATTTACATATATTTAACGGTATTTTATAAAACAATTTGATTAAATCATGTTCATTTTTTAACCTATATATAATTAATCGTATTTCATGGTTATTACACTCGTAAGGTTTCTTCATAATATCTCTTTATCTATATGTATGCATAATTTCATTTTCTTGCATAGAATACCAACGGATATATTGACGCTAAAACTTTTGGACTCTTTTGTTATAAGATTTGTTATTGATTAATATATGTAGTCTTTTTATTCTTATTATTAATCTTTTTCACACTTTTGATAAAGTTTTTGTATTATATTTGTGTGTTTTCATGGGTTGTTTCTCACATCTCCAGTGAAACCAAAATCTAAAATGGTAATACATCTCAACCATATATTCCTCTACATACAAATTTTTTTTACTTCCAAGATAATAATTATGATTCCAATTATTATTTCTTCCAGTTGAGTAGAATGACAAGATTACTCGATCTTATAGCCCTTTTTATTAAGCCCGTGTGCTTAATTTTTTTTCACCTGAATAAATACGTTATAGGTTTAAAATGTGATGATTGTTTACATAATTACTTTTAATTCAAAAAAGTTATAGTATTATATCAATTAATTCATTAAAACGCATGACTTGGGTGGTTTAATATTTTTACTCAAATAAGTACTTACATACGATTCACTCTATATAGTATATCTCTATATTAATGTACGATATATAATATAGGGAAAATGATACAAAAGCCCTTAAGTTTTCACAAAAATATCGGTTTTATTCTTGGACGTGTTTTAGGTCGAGTAAAGCCCGAAGTTTTGTTTACTTTGTTCATAAAGCCCTTGAATTTTCAAAAATGTTCAGATTTACCCTTAAGTTTTTAAAAAATATTCAGATTTACCCTTACCTTGATTTTTATTTTGATTATTCTAATTATTATTATTATTATTATTATTATTATTATTATTATTATTATTATTGTTGTTGTTGTTGTTTTTATTATTATTAGGTATTTTTAATACATTTTAATATATAAAAATATTTTATACATAAATTTTTAAATGTATACAAATATTTTTATTAATATAAATATATTTTTAAAAATATATATATACTTGTATTTAAATATACATTTGAATTCCCATGTATTCAATTAAAAACGGATTTATATATTAAAAAAGTATTTATTTGTATATGGTATATATATATATATATATATATATATATATATATATATATTTCATATAAAAATATATTATATTATATACATATAAATATAAAATACATATTTATATGGATTATATTGTATAAAAGATATATTTAATGTATTTGTACACATTAATAACTACATATGAAAATGTATTTATCCATTTTCAAACATATTTATATGTATTAGATACAAATAAAAAGTGTATTTATACATTTAAAGACATATTTATACATTTATAAATATTTTTATTTGTATTTAATAGATATAAATATGTAATTCCTCTATATAAAAACTATAGTATGCATATAATTATGAATTAAATACATATTTATACTTGGTAATATGTTCAAATACATCTAATTATATCTTTTATATAATATAAACCATATAAATATGCATTTTTATATTTATATGTATAGAATATATTTTCATATGAAATAAATATATATTTATACCTACTAAATACAAATAAATACATTTTTAACATATAAATACGTTACTACATGAATACACGGGGTTTCAAATGTAATATAAATACTAAATACAAGTATATATGTTTTTAAAAATATATTTATATTAGTAAAAATATTTTTATACATTTAAAAATGTATGTATAAAATATTTTTATACATTTAAAAATGTATTAAAAATTAATAATAATAATAATAATAATAATAATAATAATAATAATAATAATAATAATAATAATAGTTATAATCAAAATAAAAATCAATGTAAGGGTAAATTCGAACATTTTTGAAAAACTTAAGGGTAAATCCGAACATTTTTGAAAATTTAAGGGCTTTACTGGCATTAGATAACCGGTAGGTTACCTGGAAACCGGCTATATGGGTAAAAATGAACAAATTAAGTAAAACTTTGGGCTTTACTGGACCTAAAACACGTCCAATGGTAAAATCGATATTTTTGTGAAAACTTAAGGGATTTTATGTTATTTTCCCTATAATATACTCAAATGATTCGATGTACGCGAGTGCAAAGCTTGACCAAGTTAAGGACTTTCAAAATATAATAACCAATATGATATTAAACAAGTTGATGAGCTTACGGGAGTAAAAGAATATGAATACAACAATTTGAATTTAGTGCGTTATTCGAGTAACGAAACCGAATTGTTTCAAACTGAAACCGAATAACCAAAAAACGGATTAACGTAAGTAATACATTTCACTTAAGTGACAAACGTCAAACCAACAACCCAGAATCCGACTTACCCACATGACTATCATGCCTAGATGACATTAAGCCCGTGTGGTTAAAAAATTTTTCACATGAATAAATACATTATAGGTTTAAAATGTAATATTTGTTTAATTGGTTACTTTTAGTTTTTTTTTAAAAAAAGTTATAGTATTATATTGATTAATTCATTAAAACTCGTGACTTGGGTGATTTAATATTAATACTCAAATAAGTATTTACATATGCTTCACTCTATATAGTATATCTATATATTAATATATGATATATAATATATTCACATGATTTAATATACACGGGTGCAAGCTT